TGTTACTGACAGTAAAACAAGTGACAAAATATTAAGCTTATATGTCCAAGCATTTCGCTGTTTTTGCTTTATGGTTCCTGTTTGTCAAGGGTTTTAATATAAACGTCTTTAGTTGAGCAAAGAGCTCAAAATAAAATGTGAGAGACTTGGTGATGCCAGTGATTCTCTTGATAAAGTCATGATTTTTTTTTACATTAATTTTCATGCCAAATTCTGGACTATTCGCTATGTCAGGTGTATCATTCGCATAATGTTCCGAGTGTACACGTATTGTGAGACAGTATTGGTCTTTTCGCACACATTTTTCAATGGACACTAACACTGATGTTTCCAGTCCTATTCTTACTGATGACGGTTGGTTAAGACTCTTATCACTCGACATCAACAAAGCTTTTAGTCCAGACTTAGATATCTTACGAATCCGGCACTTTACCAGAAAACTGGAAATTTGCTCATGCTCAGCCCATCCAAAAAAAGTTTCTGGAGTACCTTGTTTAGCGACAGGTAGTAGGGTATGGCAGTATGGTTTCCGGCACCAGCAATCCACGAGGGATCTCCTAGCTTTCGTCACGCAACTGTGGCAGAAACGCAAACAAGATATCCGTCGTAATTAACGGGATCTCCCAAAATGCCAACGCGAGTGTTCCCCAGGGATCGATCTTGGCTCCGAAAGTGTTCCTCTTACATTCCTGCACGATCAATCTAATCCACAGCTTTACTGATGACAGCATTCTACGAGTATATGCAGGGATTCATAACCACAAGCCGGTAATTTTCTACGCCTCACCTCCTCACTCTGCACAAGGCCCAGATAATTCCGAGCTTTGAGTACTACTCACATGTTTTGTGTGCTGTTGCCCCGAGTACATTTTCCATGCTCGATGCCAGACGGATCTGCCTGACTTCAGCTTCCCATCCTAAGCGTAGCGAACTTCGTACATCCAGAGCTCGTCAATACGACCGCTCCTTTGTCCCTAGTTATCGATATTTTGGACAATTTACCTGTGCAGTTCCACTAACGCTGGCAGTTCAAAAATCGTATTAACAAACTTTCTTTGAGCTCCAGATATCAGCCGCGGTACCCTGGCTTTTGCTGACGCTGCTGCTTTGGTATAAAATAAATATGTTTTTTATAAACTACCTGACCGCAAGTTATATATTATATATAGTTTTTTAGAAATATAACTAAGGAAAGGCTCCTTAATTTTTGGAAATTCTTGCACTTGTGGCAGAGTAACTAGTGGAATCTCTACATTTACATCATGGTGATGACGTATAAAAGGATTGACGTCATCATGATCCGCTTCCGCGAACTGTTAGTGAAAAACGGCAAATTCTTCAAATAGGTTGCTTTGTTTAGCTTTTTTTATATAGTTTTAAACTAAAGGAAAAACAAAAATATCGCAAGTTTTACATGGCTTTGTCATAATTTAGGAATCACCCTGAATGTAGCAATGTGTGCTTTGATGTCTTTAAGATTTACGATGCCAGATTCAAAAGCGTAGATTTACGAGTTCAAGGTGAATGACAAGCTAAATACACTGTTTGCTAGGAGGTTGCTACTATGCTGTACACTTTTGGATTTGGAAAATTTTGTAACCCTATTCAAGAATTGTGTCAAACAGAAATAACACTGAGTTGCTTAGTCTCCAAGTGTTTCTTACGTGTTGTGCAACTTGCAGTTTGTCTTGCAAACGTTGAGACAACAAATAGTATTGTATGTCACAATAATTATTCACGCATTTCTTGTCTGTGAGAAGCTTTTTGGACTTGCTAAGGTTAATGACTTTTTTTGTATGTACGAATTTCTCTTGCGACATATTCTCGTAGGAGATAATGAAATTTTATTTTTGTGGTTCTTGTCACCCATTGTCACTGTGCTGTCATCTTTATTTAATTATTTGACTTTGAGACGGGTGTTGGAATAATAACGAAAGAAAAGTAAGTATGTTCAAGCAACTCATACTCCCACTTTGTCGTATGACGTTTTGTCGTACGGTGAAAAAATCTCGAACGCGTCACTCATTGTCGCGTGGTCATCGCTTCTAGAGATTTTTGCGAATAAAAAATGTCGATTGCGTGATTTAAGAAGGCACTTTTGAGTCTCGCGACATTTTCCCTACCTAGCAATTCACATGCGATATTGACCATTATACATTCAAGAATACCCTCGAGGTTTTCTCAATACCATTTGATGTAGGTATGTGAGACACAACTGGGACTATTTTTGTGAAAATTTCCCTACTGAGATTTTTCGTTTTACTCCTTTTTTTAACTTGGACAGTCAGAAAATATACTTTATGTTTTCCAAGTTTAGGTGTCTCTTTTTAGCCTCCGGACTCCTTTACGCTCTAGAGTGGTGAAGTAACTTTAGAGCTAGGTATATGTAGATTAACCTATAGCTCTCATAAGAATTGTTTTTACTGAGCGATGACGCAATTATGTTAGTAAAGTCAATCTGTTTTTAAATCTGTACAAAGAATACGCTGAATTCCTTATTTTTGCAGTTGGTACATCAAATGTTGTGTGTATCTCGGATATAATGAGCGATAGCGACTAATTTTACGCCACGGACAATAACCGCTAAATACGTAAATAAATATTAGGCTATTAAGTGTTCTTAGTTCTGTTCCGGTTGTACTACAAATGGATCTCATACCCTTCTATTGTTTGTAAGAACCAAAAACACCATGATCTTCAAAAATTTATACTTAATCTCTGGCTTCTACTTAAGGGTATGGGAATGCAAAGACTAGTACGTCTAGTCATGACTAATATTGAAGAAATGCATTTAAGGCTGTATATTGACATTTTTATCAAAATATCTCATTATTTCGCTTGTAATTCTAAAGCGAACATTCGAGTAACATTATTGAATACATGATTGCAATACTTCAAATATCTGAAAAAGTTGAGAATTACCTTTTTAAAAGGTAGTATAAGTTTTGTAAATTAGCTTACTAAAGATAACCACTTAATAAACGTAACTGCAACTCAAATACCACTTTAATCTGTCTCAGTTAATCTAAGTGTCATTAAAACTTAATAGTGATTCAAATAACATCGCAGGTTATTGTGAAATGCAATTTCTCCGGTGCAATTCCGAGAAAGGTTCGTGTATGATTTTTTCTCCGAAACGTGTATATATTGGCATTGAGAGGAAGAATGAGCCCATTTTCTTAGTGGGACGCTCAGAAACCAATGGCGGTTTTTTAAAGTTTAATCCATCTACCTAAGCTTGATACACATCAGTCACTTATCTCCAGAACTGCATTCTAAATTATAGCTACTTTAGTATAATCGATGCATCTTAAACTTTATACAAAAGAAAGTTATTTGAAAGATTGATTCTGTCATTTCTACACTATTCGTTAATACTATTATATCCTTGCTTAGATTCGTCGGATTGGCGCAAACAATTAAATTGGTCATTGCAAAAACCTCGTGGCTCAATTTTTTACCATCATTCTTTTTTACCGAAAGCACTTCATCAAATGTTTACGCCCCCTCAAATAACACCACATAATACACGTTCAGTCCATTGACTACTCGACGGCGGTACTTGAATGGATTCAGAAGCAGTACCAATATCCCGATAGTATTTTATTTTTATGTATGTGCTATATACACCGAAACATTCATTTTAAATCCATTTACTACAAAAATAAGATTGCAGGGGGTTGTTACTTGCTTGTAGGCCGTAGCTGCAAAAGCGCGTTCCTGAACCAAATTCATGTAGAAAAGTTGTATCGATCTTTATCTGCTCAATTTTTTGACTGCCTTACTTTGGACATTCAGGGTCAAGTATGATATACATACAACAGAATAAATGCTAGAATAAAAGTGATGCCAAAAAACTGGGAGCGCACCGTAGAGTGCTCTTCCACTCGCCCTACAGATAATATGACACAATCTACGTTAAAAATTTTGATATGAATAGGTAAAATAGGTTATATATATTATTTCGTTTTTGTAATAAAAAAATTACCTCACCTAACTGAAAATAAATTTATACAGCATGAAGCGGAATAGTACGCGACTAACTAATCACATACTCGTACATCTAAATAAATCCGTCGCACAGCTTTCCTAAATCTAGATAGATTTAAAAGCTTGAGGAGTCTATGGTTGGAGTTGTAGGTTTTGTATATACTTCGAAGTTGAGTCATTTATTTTAACAGTGAGTAGATCTGATCAAAAGAAATGTTTTTTTCCTTTACCATTTTTCTGGTAAAATTAAAGTAACAAAGTTATAGCCCTTTGGAAGTTTGAGTACCGCCCTGTCTCAATGATAATATTATGTGCTCGTGTTTGGCAACAACGGATATAATCCGCCATCGGTTCATTGCATCGGAAACAAAAAAGCGAAAGAATTTGGAACGATGTTTTTACAATTATTTTATTCAGTTGTGTGGTATACAGTCAGTGTCAGTCGGTAACGCGTCAGTGAATAGTAGTGTCTGTTGCGTCGCTCAAACGAAATAAAAAATGGCACATGTTTATGCGGATCGGTTTCCCAATCGAGTGCAACCAACCCCTCGTGCCTTTGTTAATGTAGTACAACGGGCTCGTGAATCAGGTGACTCCAAGACCTCGCAATCAAATACAGGTCCGCACTGAAATACTTGTCGGGAGGATACTTTATAAAACAAGGTAAATTTTTTTTTATTTTTTTTTTATTTTTACACACATATTTTGGTTTATCTTCCTTCTACAATCATTATCTGAAAATTAATGACTCAACTTCAAAGTCACCCTATATATATATATATATGCTTTGCTATACAGGCGTTTTATGTGACGGCGCCGAAATACTATCTTTGTAACGGATATTAAGGTCATCTATTGCTCTTCTGAATTTCACTTTACTGTACAAGTAAGGCGGGTTGTTAGTGGACATATCCAGACAATGCAAGGGTTTAAGTTGATAGCAAACTCTCTCATATTTAGGTATACCAAAGATAAGACGTATAAAAGTGTTCGAGTAGATATTTCATGGTCTAAGCAAGAATAGCAGGAATAGCATTGAGAACTGTGATAAGATCAGAGATGTGCAAAGCAATGGAGGATATAGGTTCTAGTTCTAAAAAAAAATATTATTTATTTAGAAAGTCATTTGTTTGTCAATTTTATTCGTAAGACTGCCTTCCGAGCCGCCAGTGAAATTCATGATCACCTTATAGTTAATGCTAACTTTTCGGTATCAATAAGAAACCAATTTCCTTGAAAAACTTGATACGGGGTTTTTCTTGGTATTTTTCTTGTTTGTATTTTTTGTATTTAATTTTGTGTTTCTTACTTTGTTCACACAGTGAAGTTAAGCGTACGGGTACCCTGTGGCTAAACTTCGCTTCACTGATGTGCTTCGGTAGCGTCCTTTAGGTATTATTATTTATTATTATTTTTTGTATAAATAATAGAGAGAAGATTCACAAATTATAATAGATCCCAACGTGGTGCCTCAGAATAATCAAACAAAACAAAAATGCAGCAACTCGAGTTACAAGGTTTTTAGATTAAAGGGCAGATATGTGTTTCGACTCTTTATTCACTAAAAGCAAAGTTGATGCTATTAGTAGTATACCGCAAGCAACTAATCTAGAATGATATATCCCCATAAATATCGTCTTCGGTGGCTTAATGTAAATTGAGTAGATGTCCCTGAATATCTCATTGATGAGCTGATTATCGTTTTGCTGGTTTTGTTGCCATAACGTTCAATTGTCTTCAATTACGTACAGCATTGGTACTATTATTCACATCATCAAATTAAAGACATAGCACACTAATAAACCAGATTAAATTGTTTTATTTACGTTCATGCGTCCTAATTAACTTTTATAGTGATGCCCTGTATATTTACACGTACTCGATTGGAGTTAATTGAAATAACTGAGAATTTTTTCTTAGCATTGTTGTCGGTACAAAGTTTCGAAAGACTGAGTCAGGATTTTCGGAAATGCTTTCTCGATATCTCGAGATCTAAGGAGCAGTTATTTTAGTAGTAATGATCTAATCGGTGATAAGGTTGTTTCTCACGTTGCTCTGATATATAATATCCCAGGATATAATATGGTCAACCTCTCGGATGCATATAGGGTGACTTCGAAGTTGAGTCATTTATTTTAACAGTGAGTAGATCTGATCAAAAGAAATGTTTTTTTCCTTTAACATTTTTCTGGTAAAATTAAAGTAACAAAGTTATAGCCGTTTAGAGGTTTGAGTACCACCCTGTCTCAATAAAAATATTATGTGCTCGTGTTTGGCAACAACGGATATAATCTGCCTTATCCGTTCATCGCATCGGAAACAAAAAAGCGAAAGAATTTGAAACGATGTTTTTACTACAATGTACAATCTTATTCAGTTGTATTCAGTCGATGTGTCAGTCGGTAACGCGTGAGTGAATAGTGAATAAAAAATGGCACATGTTTACGAAAATGCTGAATGTAGTACAAAGGGCTCGTGAATCAGGTGACTTAAGACCTCACAGGGGAGGGCATGCCGGTGCTCCAAGACCGCACGATCAAATACAGGTCCGCACTGAAATACTTGTCGGGAGGATACTTTATAAAACAATGTAACATTTTTTTTTTAATTTTTTTTTTATTTTTACACACATATTTTGGTTTATCTTCCTTCTACAATCATTATCTGAAAATTAATGACTCAACTTCAAAGTCACCCTGTAGAATAAAAAAATAATTCGAAAAATCAGCTCTTGTTTGGTTATACCAAGTTTTGTAACCAATTAGTGCCTCGCAAGTAGTAGCTCCATTAGATAGACAGGGAAGGATTAGCCCTAATGCAGTGTTGGTATTTTCCACATCCTGTATATAAATGTCCAAAATCTGATTTTAACGGAAAGCCTGATCCTTCAGGTAAAAATAAAATCTATTTGCTCTTGCGTGGCATCAGTAAAGTTAGTCGTTTTTGAGAAAAACGGTACTGCTTCCATAATTATTGTTTCTTCAATTATGATACTGGATCCGACATACTGCTTTCGTCATTTTGAAGCAATAGTGATTTCGATTCATTATCACGTCCCAAAATACCCCGCAAAACCATTATAGAGAATGGCTTTCAGCTTTCCTGCTTAGGCCCAATTGGAAGATTGGATAGAACGAATGAGGGGTATAAATGGAAGATTGCGAAGTGAAAATGGGGAGAGTGGATGTGAAGTTACTGCGTACGCGAATGGCCAGCTGATTGTCGTTAGCGGTACTTCAGTGCATAAGATTGAAAGAACATGGGTGGAAACTGAAAGGGAAGACATTGAATGAAACAATGAATGCGGACTTACATATAATGAAAGTAAGACAGAATGCATGTTTGTGGAAATGGGGTGCGTAATTAGAGAGTCGACAATAAGAATGGAAGGTAAGAGATTGAAAATGAAAGACGGGGTAAGTTATCTGGGGGTGCACGTGGAAAAGAAACGAAATAGTATTGACTGAGCACGTCAAACAATTGAGAGGGAGGACTGCGGGAATAATAGGAAAGATTTGAGATATTACAAAGAGGAAGTTAGGCAAACATAAAGAAATTCTAACCTTACTGTATAAAAGAGTAATAAAAAGTGCAAACTTGTACGGATGTGAAATATGGGGAGAAAGTGCAACAGACACTAGGGTAGTGAGACAACTAAAGGCGATTCAAAGGATGCGTGGTCTTATGATAGAGCGAATGTATAGAACGACAGCAATGGAGAGTATGGAGGTAATAAGTGGAATGAAACCGTTAGAGCTGGAAGCGAATACGAGGTGTATGGAGTGGCGTCGCTGAGAGCAAAGTGTTGGGTGAAGATAAGAGTTACCCAACTTGAAAAACATGTGCAATGAACGAAGAAGGCAGAGAGGAAGAATTTGAAAGTGGCTGGATCGCAAGTGTAGATGTTAGTATGAAAGAAGTAAGTAAGTAAGTAAGTATGCATGGAATGGATGAAAAGGGTAGAGCGCGTATCGTCCTTTGGTGAACACGGAGATATGGTAGCCATACGGAAATGCATTCAAAAGATCAAGGAGCATAAATAATGGCCGCTGACAGTAAGAGCAGATTGCCAGGTCGCCTTCAGATGCATAAATGGACAAGGGATGGAAGATCAGGGTGAAAGTGATAGAAATGATTGAATATGAGGGAACTAGCTATGAAAGTGGGGATTATATAATGATAATAATAATATTTATTCACTCAATGTACAAAGATAACAAACAATATGAGTAAATAAATATAAAATCAAAACAGGCCCAATAGAAGGCATCGCCTGTACATGGACCAATAATTTTAAGTTGAAACTGTAGAATGCAAATGACAAAAAAGGACAAAAATTAGCTACAGTAGATTATGTATTTAGTTGATGTTCGAATTTATGAGTTTATGAATGTCAGTCCTAGATATAGAATGTAGAATTTCCGAAACGTAAATCTTTTAAGCCTTTAGGTATAATTTCATAAAATTTAGGCGCTAAATAGAGATATGATCGCTGCATTATAGATTTATGCGGCTGAGGAACTACTGTGCCACGAATTTTGTACCTTGTATAATGATTATGTTTAATTTTTTGTTGGGTGTTTACAAATTTATGGTAGTGAGTGATACTGTGTAAGAAATAAAGCTGTCTTATATCATACATTCGAACATTTGCGTATAATTTGTCAGTGGGATAAAGTTCCGGTTTTTTATATATCATTTTTAGAATACTTTTTTGAAAAACATCTAAATTATAGATATGTGAGGAACATGCAGCTCCCCATGCTAATATACCATATGTGAGATAAGGCTCAATCAGTGCATGGTATAATGTTCGAAGATATTTTTCTGTCAATATATTCCCAAGGTATTTAATTTTGTAGGATACAAATCTAACTTTCTTTAAAATATAATTGACATGGATGTCCCATCGTAAGTGAGGATCCAAGACCACTCCAAGGTATTTTATGTTGGGCACTCTATTAATTTGCATTTTTTGATCATTAATGTTGAAGAAGAAATTTGTGTAATGTGGCAGATGTCTAGCATAAGATCCAAATGGTAAAAAATCTGTTTTATAATAGTTAATGCTTAATTTTCTACTGTTAAACTACCGAATAATTTTGACAATTCATTTGGAAAATATCATTTAAATATATATTGAATAACAGCGGACCTAAGACAGTTCCTTGTGGGACACCACACTTAATATACATTTCTTTACTAAATGATCCTGATATCTGCACAGATTGTGGGCGATTTGACAAATAATTTTCGATCAGTGAGTACGCGTTTCCTCTGAAACCAATTCTCTTCAGTGCTTCTAATAATAATTTGTGATTAACTGTGACGAAAGCTTTCTTTAGATCAACAAAAATGCAGATTTAAGGGATTCTGTTATCAATATTGTGACGTATTTGATTTACAATTTTAGTTATTGCGTCCGATGTAGCCTTCCTTCCTGTAAATCCATATTGATTTTCACTTAAAATTTTGAATTTTGTGAGGTATCGAATCATTCTAGTAGATTTTTCAAAAACCTTTGCTACACTGGATATTATTGATATTGGTCTATAGTTGTCAACATCTGTTTTTGTTCCTGATTTATGTATCTGTATTATATTACCTTTTTTAAAATTGAGGGATATATGCCAGATTCAAAGCATTTGTTGATTAGGTAAGTGAGTGGTTCTGTTATGTCCTCGGCTATAATTTTCAAATGCTCGCTTTTAATACCATCGAACCCAGGACTTTTTCGATTTTTTAAGGACATAACAGTGGTGTATACTTCACATTGCTGGACTTTATCCAAAATAAATGAGTTCAAAGTTCTTTTTGGAGGCTGAGTATTTTGTACATTTGCTTGTATATTATTTGCTAAATTTTCGCCTATGTCAGTTAAAAATTGTACAAATTCATCGCATATCTGTTGAGTATTTTTTAATACTGTTCCCCATGTTGTATTTAACTCAGTGACACACTCTTTGAATTTTGTTTTCCCAGTAATCTCATCAATAGTTGTCCAAAGCCGCTTAGGATCATTTAAGTTATTATTCAATTTATTTAGGTAATGTTTTCGTTTGGTTTGCCTTGAAAGCTTCATAAATTTATTTTTATATTGGTTGTAGCAGTCGGTATTCTCTGTAGTTGGCGTTAGTTTCATTACATTATATAGTCTTTCTTTTTCTATTGCCGATGTTATTAATCCTTTGGTAACCCAGGCATTTCTGCTTTTCTCTTTGTGACTAATTATTACTTTATTGGTACTAATATCTATTAGTATTTTTATTTTCTCTATGAACAGTCCCGTTGCTTTGTTTATATTATTTATAGAGTATAATTATTCCAAGGATTCTTGTTTGACATTTGATATTAGTTTTGAATTGTCGACAAAAAATTTGTAATTT